AATTATACCAAACAACATGAATCAAACATGCACTTCATTTATTTACACTAAATGTCAAAAGTACATCAAATCGGATTGAAGCTAAGGGCATACAAGACTGTCTAACAAGCCGCTTGCAAGATTATTCTTCTCCCATTCCTGAAGAACATGACAACACCCAGGAGAACGTCAACCCAGAAGTTGGGAACTAGTTCGGTATGGAGTCGACCGAGCAGGTTAACATTGAAATACTCTTGATCAAGGTCTACGAGTTCGAGTCCCGCTTCGACCGCGTGGAGCAGATGCAACAGGAGATGAGAGCCACTCTACAACTTCTCCTTTAGTAGTTGGCCAGGACTGAACAATCCCCCTTTACCCCAGCCGCTCCTCCTGCCTCCATCCCCACCAGCCACCAGTCTGCCAATCAGAACCCCACTATGCCTGAGTAACCTGCAAGGACCAACTCTACACCTGCACAGACTAACTAGCCCACTGTTGAACAGCCTCTAGTCACTTCCCATACCAACCCAACAATAGAGGCACCACTTAGCCATGACGACTAAAGGAATACATTCTAGGGTTGATGGTGGAATACTAGAGCAGAGCCTAGGCTTCCCTTGTCCTACAAAAGCCCTACTCTGATCGAATCCTTTACAAACCCTATCCCACCGGCTACGTCCCCCCCAGTAGTGGCCACAGTACGACAGGCAGAAGGGAAGCCCGCAGGAACATGTGAACAAGTTTGAGGATGTTTTGGGGTCCTTTGCTCTCAACGGGGACCTGAAAGTTGGGGAGCTCTAAATCTTTGACTGGGTTGGCATATACCTGGTTTGTCAATCTAACCACATGTAGCATTGACTCGTGGGCAGAACTGACAAAGAGGTTCTTGTCAAAATGGTTTACCTTAGAGCGGAGACTGACGATGGATGACTTGCGCAACATAGAGCAATGCGCGGGAGAAGATCTTTTGGCCTATGTGATTAGATTTCAGAAGCTGACCCATTCAGTTTTTGACGAACATGTCACTGAGAAGAGTTTCGTCGAACAATGCGTGCAAGGCATGCAGCCCGCCTATAGGATAGGCATAGAGAATGTAGAAGTAGAGACCTTCAGCCAATTATGGAAGTGCACGGAGAGGATGACGCACACTGTCAAAAGCACTTTGTCCTAGTCTACACTAGTAGCAGGACAGTACGGGAAGAACTAGGCCTATGCCATGGACAGAAAACCTCGCAATATTGGAGGGCCTAGGCCAGGGCCCTATTACCGCAACAATGTCCAGGGCAGAAGAAATAATGCACCGATCCCTCCTTTCGCCTGCACCAAGGAGGTGATCATGATCATGAATAAGCTCGTGGAAGATCGTGCCATCAATCTACCACTGCCGCCGCCAGGGATCGACCCAAAGGAGAGGCACAGAGGAAGGTGTACCTTTCACCAGTCGCCGCACCACGACCTCATGGACTACCTTTCATTGAGGTGATTATTTGTACAAAAGGTGAAACTTGATGATTTTGTTAAGAGGAAACCGGCACAAGTAGAGACAAACCCCCTCCCTGCACACACTCAGGAAGTATCAACGTGGTTGGAGCACCAAGCCAAGACCACCCAGACATGTTGATCCAGAGATTCTAATGTTAGTGTTGTGGCTAGGCTACGTACGAGGGTCTCCTTTAAGGACAAAGGAAAACCGAGTGCAGGAGGTAAGCTAAAGGCTTAGGGCAAATGGGATGATGGAATGATGATCTCGTTATGAGTTGGACCCCCATTTATAGGGAGAGATTCCGAGGTCCCGAAAGGAAGGAGCCAAAAGCGTATGATTCCCATTAGGAAAGGGAATCTTAGATTCGCTATCAGTTATTAGGGAGAACTGCTAGGGTTTCACCACGTGTCTTATGGGATATCTTAAGGACGAACTTTCCATTCGTCTGAGGATTTTCATAATCTACGTGTGCTACTTCCTTCCATGACCCTTTTAAACCGACGTGGCACGGGTGATGTCATTACCTAGTTTGTCTATCTTTATTAGGCCCACGGGGTGTCTCGTCACGCACGTTATTTAACGACGCACGTGTTTCTACTACTTGTTTATGACCTACGGTAAGCCCACATTCGTCACGGTTCCACAATCGCTTTAAACTCATCGCAAGTCCACGCGAGTCCGAAACTCATCGCAAGTTCGCGTGTGTCCGGAACTCATCACAAGTTTAAGCGGGGCCAAAGTTCATCGCAGGTGTGCGATGAGTTGTGGACTCATCACAGATGAGTGATAGGTTATAGATTCATCGCAGTCGTTTGTGTAGTATTGGTTCAGCACTCTTTGTATTTAGATGGTTTTAGTGACCACTGAATACCCAGTTGTTTAACCTGTTAGAAAGTCCAAGAACATGTTGGGTTTGGTCCAATTTAACGTTTCTTGCAAACATTCATCCCCACACCTTAGGTCACAACTCGAGTAGTTGATATCCATTGCTCCACTACCTTGGGCTATGTGAGAATGACAACTTTGTTAGGATAGACTTCCCCAAGTGTATCCAGAGGTTGTGAAGTTTCAAGTCCATATCACGTGGTCTCATACATAATATTTATATGAACTAAGGGTATTTAGTAGAAGAACCTGATGACTCGTGTTTGTTTATTTTTGGGGGGTTATTTCTTATCACTCCTGTTGTAATTGTTCCCATCTTATTGAATTTTCTTTTATTTTTTTTATGGCACTGATATCAAATTATGTATGATGGTCTAGGGGTCCTATAAACTTTAGATCTGGTGTTAAGCTTCGTGGGGTGATTAGAAATAAAGTATATTGGTAGAAAAGAGATGGATGGTTATAAGAAGAAATAGTAAGAGAGAGAGAGAGAGAAAGAGAGGTCTTGAAGAAATGGTAAGAGGAAGAAGGGAAAAGTTCCTGGCAATAACTAGAATTTACAAACCCAAACTTTATTTATTTATTTATTTTTATATCTTAAACCCAAACTTTATTTCATCAAATCGTCCTCTTTTAATTGGAATTTCAATGACTCTATTTATAGATTTAGCTTATGAACTTGGATATCCCATTATAGATTGAAACTTGGAGTAATCCCATCTCAATGTCTAATTGAATTTTCTTATCACTCAGATATCCCATTATACCATAGGGACACTCCAACAGACACTAATTCCTAAAACAACCCTAAGAAAATGTTTCTAATCCTACTAAAATTAAACTATTCTAAAGACATCTGAAATTACTAACAATAGTATTGTGAGTTTAAATTGTTGGAGAACTTAAAACCCTATTCTTAAGATAGCTATTAACCTATGACTGGGAAATAAATTTAAAAACTCAAATGAGATCAGTATATCCTATCAGCCTAAATTTCTGAAATTGGTATAGGAATTAGATAACTGATTAAATTCTCCATTGATTCTTTCTGTGCTTTCATATCTGCATCATTAAATCAAAGCAAAATTAGAATCATCACCCTTATTAATCATTATACCAAGATGGGCAAATATACCCCTGATTATAAGAATATCTCATAAAGCTATAAAACATAAAGTAAACATGTTACTCAACTATAAAATGCAATAGAAGAATGTAGAGAATACAATGGCATGCTTGTGCACATGCAGAAGAAAGAATGTAGATCCAGTTAGTGGATGGGTTTGAGAACTAGAAGATCTCTTGATTCATTAACCTGCTCAGATGACTCCTTTTATATAAAACCACTCGTGTCTTTTGTATCATAAGTACATTTATCTCTGTCTGACTTTTGCTTAAATTGTTGTTGTATATCAAGTTGTTCAGTACCATGTTCTGGGCAGTGTTTTAAAGGCATGGGAGCGTATGTCTGGAGGCAAGGCGCCCCCAAAATTCCCTGAGGCATATGCCACAGGCACTGACACCTCTGAGGCGTACTCATACGCTTTTTTCATGAGGTGTGTTGGAGGCATACGCCTGATATAAAAAGACAGAAAAAAAGAAAGAAAAAAGGAAAGGAAAGGAAAAGAAAGGGAAAAGAAAGAAAAAGAAAGATAGAGAAGGAAGAAAAAAGGAGAAAAGAAAGAAAAGGAAAGGGAAGGGAAGAAAAGATAAGGGGAAAGACCCCCCCCCTCCTTTCATCTAGTGCAATGAATCTTCATTCTTCTTACCATAAAAGGTTTTTATTAAAAATAAAGAAAATGTGATCCTCCTTAATATTAAATATCTTTATTAAAAATAATATTATTTCATGGGTTTCAACTAATTCCTGTAGCTAATGCAATGTTTTGGTTTCCTCTTTTATTGTACAGCTTTCCTTTGTTTCTTAAAAGTTCTGATAGTCTTAGAGATAATTTTGTAATGCAGGAAATCATCCCGAATAAATACAACATTGGCAGTTAATGGTTTGACCCCATTGCTTATTGCAAGGCTTGACCACCAAGATGCAATTGCTCGTCTCAATTTACTCAAGCTAATAAAGGCGAGTTTAATTTTTTTTGTGCTCTTTTACCATGATTATTTGCCGTCAGATTTTTCATGTGGAATTTTCTATAGATTTCAGATTTTTGTGGCAGCATTAATAATATAGTCTTACTTGGAGCCAATATGGCAGGCTGTTTATGAGCACCATCCACGGCCTAAACAACTCATTGTGGAGAATGATCTACCTCAGAAGCTTCAAAATCTGATTGAAGAGCGCAGGGATGGGCAGCGATCTGGAGGTCAAGTCTTGGTGAAACAGATGGCCACAGCATTGCTCAAAGCACTTCATATCAATACTGTACTGTAAATTTTGGTCTTTCTAACCTCTACTCCCTGTTTCTGTATATTTGATTTCTTGGGAGCAACATGGTTGTGTTTGCTTTTCACTCCGTCTATAGGATGAACACTAATTGCTGGCAAGGCCCCCTATTTTATCTGGGTTGCTAGGTCTAGATGTCATTTTAGCCCCACATTGAGATGTTAAGATTGTAAGTTTTTTTCTTCCTTTTACCTAAGTTAGGATAGTCTTGTGTAAAGGTTGCTACAGCCATAGATGGTTCTCACATAAAACCTGAATTTTGGACTTTTAATTGAACTGTTCTGTATCTACATTGCTATTCTTAAATCATAACATCAGGCAAGACTGCTTATTCCACAAAATGGGATGGACGGAAAAATAGCCAGAAAGAAATGGCACGGTAAATGGCAGACTGCCACTCCAATTTTATTTTAATAAGCATTGTTATGGGTGACTTTTATGTTCTCAAAATCCCATTGGTACACGGTAAATGGCACATGGACTTGGTTTGAGGTAAATTAACATCTCTGAACATCGTACAGGATTTCTTTGAATAAATAACATCATTACTAATTTGACATGTAAACAAGATGCTGTGTTGTAATGCAGGTGCTTAGGAACAGGCAAGAAAGAAAGAAACGGAAAACAATTTAAAAGCTTTGGTGGTCCTTTGCCTTATCAAGATGTCATTTGCTGAGTGAGGGAACATACTTAGTGGAATAAGATTATCTGAAGGCTGCCTTGGTGCATTATATGATAATAGACAACTACAGATTATGAATGTCTCTTGATTAAACTACTAAAGATTGATTGTTTGCATTAATTTCTTAACTAGCTGAACCACCCCTGATTCAGTAGCTGATCGTTGATAGCTGAGCGTGAGATATTGGAACTGTAGAAGGTATGTATCTGTATATTGTTATGTATTTTAATTAGATGGCTAAATTTTAGTTCCTTAAATTTGTTCATATGTTTTCTATTTAACTTGTGGACATGCTATTTACAGCATCGATGGCATCCTTATATTGTGCCATATGGTTACACTCAAGTGCCATGTGACATTCAAATATATTGTCGCATGGTGCACATCATTGAATATATTCCAGTACCATATATTATCCATATATATCATATGGCATACATGCGTCATTGATTACATTTTAGTGCCACATGGCATTAATATATGATACCATTTGGCACACATTACATCACATAATACATTTAAATGCTGTGGCATTAATATATGTAGTTTGATGGTGGAATTTTAAATATCACGTGTGGTTGATGCACACATTTTATGAAGTATTTTAGGGGCATATATCACACCATGATTTGTTGTGTTGGTTGTGTTGCAAGTATTTATATGTTGCTCATGCAATCATGATCGGATTATATATGTGCAAAGTGGGACCTGGACTCCACTTTAAAATGTTGTCTTATTTGGTAAAAATGATGCAAATCAAGTGTAAGTACATATAGATTAACATCATGGGGATTTCAATGAGGATCATGATGATATAGAGGTGATCATCATAGTAGGCATGAGCATTGTGTTTGTCGATGAATTTACTAGCAAACACAATCTCAAACCTTTGCGATGCAACGAATATGATCATTTACACTTTTAATGTCTTATACACATTGCTCATACCGTTTGAAGCTTTAGACAATAGGGTTTGTTTCATGCATAGCTATAATAGCCTCGTCATGATGAGTCTTTTGTTAGGAAGACATGTCCTCGGTCGGCCAATGATCCTCTACCTCACCATAGTGTTGTATATGTACCACCAATGTATCAAGGCGAGGCACACGGGTTGGTATCTTGGATACCTGCCAATAGAGTACCACTCGAGTGATTGGAGGCACTTATACAAGATGTGACTTATTATATAGAGCCGATAGACAATGGTGATGCGCAAATTGCAAAGGTTGAGCTCCCAAAAGAAGACAAGGTTGAGACTACAATGTTAATTTAGGAGAAGAAGCGGCACCAATGTGTAAAGGTAACAGTCCTAAATGGCCCCGTGTACTACAAAATTGTGGAAGAGGATCCTATTACCAAGAAAAGCAACAAATGAGGTATATTACTTCTGTTATATGATGTCAATGTATGCTAAAGAATATATTACATGAACATTATCACTTTTTCTAGCTTTAATCAAGTTATAAATTCTCTTATGAAAATTCATCATCTCTCGAACTATTTTTTCTCTTGCAACAATAGACAAAAAATTGTGATACAGACACCGCACCAAGACACTACAGTATAGACACCGCAACAAATTTAGTTTACAAAGAAACAAGTACAATAAACGAGATAATTTAACAAACATAACAAAAAGAGAATTTTAACAATAAAACCTTCCCATAGGTTGAGAACAATGGTCATCGTATTATACTATTATGACGGAATCCGACCTCCCAAGTACATGCAAGATTCCAATAGTGCATTCAATGAATCATTGGAGGAAATCAACATCTTAGAAGGACAAGGCGACAAACATCACTTGTTCCAATAGTGCATTCAATGAATCGTTGGGTGACCTTGCTCTCACTTTTAAAAGGTGTGTTACCTTTAAAATCCAATAGCCGTCTCCTTACATTTTTTCCATATCCTTCTCTTGTCAACTCGTAGAGTCTAAGATGTTTTCACTTGGTTGTACGACTAGATGCCTAGACTGGATTTAAAATTTCTCAAGCATTGCTTGTACATAGATCCATGATACAAACCAATAAAGTAGCCTCTGAGTATTTTAGCCAAATGTTGTCGTGAAAATCAAAGAAGAAATCGAGAGATTCATTAAGGTCGAATTCATCAAGCCAATTGCAATCCAAAGTGGTTAGTGTAAGTGTGGTGGTTGGGCTATGTACGGGAGTCTCCTTGAAGGACAAAGGAAAACCGAGTGCAAGAGGTAGGTTAAAGGCTTCTGTCACGGAGGTAGTTCTGTAGTGGAAGAAACCCATGCGGTGTCCAGGCCAAGGTAGGCCAGGACAACCCTTATGTGTGCTTGGAGGCTAGGAGTTGCCCGATGAGATGGCTTCACCAAGGTCAATAGCACTAGATCATGACTTCAAGTCGCATGGCTGGGGCACTCGGTTGGCTCTGGCCGGTCCATGGGAGGTGCCTCTTACGTGCTAAAGGGGGAAAGCCATGATGTGAGGCGACTATGCGTCAATGAGAGGTGATTGGGCATTGATGTGATGGGTCTCCTGTATGCTGATGATGTGGGCACTTGTGTGCCATGATGAGAGGCAACCGCTTGGGTTGGAACACACCCGTGCGCTGTAGGCAACGGGATAGCTCATTTAGCTTGGGTAAGGGGCTGGCGTGGTAAAGGGTCATGCTAGAGCCAGGCCCACATGGCAAGCCTCCTTGCACAGTGCCGGTCCATGCACTGTCCCCATGAGCAAGTGTGCGCCCATGAGGAACCCTAGTAGCCATGCTAGCCATTAACCAGGGCCACCCTGCAAGGGATGTTGATCTAGGAGTGCCAAGGTTAGGCACCCAAGGAGGTCGACCACCCCTCATCAAAGAGTACGTTAAGCTTTTGGTGGTCTGCTTGAAGATAACATCAATTCTCCAAAAAAACTTATGGGAAAAAATGACGGTGATGTCCCTTAACGTAAGCTTGCCAAGTGTAGGCTCAGCCTGTGTCAGACTGTGACAGACTCCCCCACTCAATCCATTGTCGTCCTCGACAATGGCTCCTTCTGTGAATGGGCGTATGTGTCCTACGCCATCCACTTGTCTGCCAGTTCCAGAGCTTGCTTGGCCAACCCAGGTCTTGCCAATGTTGGTGTCTATTTCTGGGGACGGAACCATTTCACCATGACGACCTACTTGGATTTCACTTCCTGTGTTAAGGTTACTCAAACCGCGCAATGGCTATGCTATTGAACTGTGTGAAAGAAGGGCCCTCGAAGAAATTGGATGTGTGTTTCACGGAGGTCCGCCCCATGTATCATCTTTACCCCAAAGCTTGACCGTTTTCTTGGTAGCTTTTTGGTAGTGCTACCGAACACGATGTGATATGTCTACTGTTGTTGGAGATGTGTCCTAGGTACCCTTTCACCATGCTGGCCTGTAGACTTCACCTCGCCGTGTGCGGGTTACTCAAACCTAGTCCATGGCTTATGCTTTGTTGGCCCTCAAAACTACACTTCACCATGCCGGTTTGGGCTACCTCTTCCCTCAGCCCCAATGTGATACTATTTCAAGGAGATCTGACCGCAATGAACGCGAGTGTGGCAACTTTTACCCATAATGTTGCTAAACATGCACTCGCCTTGTGATAAGAGTTGCTACTGCCAACGTTCCACATGTTGTTGAATTGAGCATGTCCTTCGATGCATTGCTGGTGTAGGGCCACCATGCTCCAACAGCTAATGTACCCACATTCCTATCATTCCAATATTGTGGCTTCAACTAATGACCTATGATGCAAAACTGCCACCTTAATGATATTCCTTGACCAACCGTCGACACCAGCCAATTTCGGATTGTTGTTCCTACCTTAGTAGTGCCTCAGACAAAGCTACGAAACAATGGCGCATCCGTCATGAAACTTAGATGTAGGCACACCCCCACTCAAACCACCATAACATGCCTTCCATAAAAAGGCTCACGCGTTTGCCCCCGCATGAGCACAGCGACCAATGCGTCTTCCCCTGCAAGAGCGCTGTTTTGGGGGCATTGGAATGGGGACACGAATGAATGATCTCTTGCTAGGCCTGATGTGAAACTTTGCTTGAACCCGAGTGGAAGTGCCTAAGGACCACACCCCATAATGTGTTGCTTGTTATGATGACCGTTTCAACTGTTTCTGGGCTAATTTGCTCTGATACCAATTGTGGCAGCGGTTGGCTAGCTTGCTCTGATACCGTCATAGGGGTTGTTTTGCAGTGGAAGAAACCCGTGCGGCGTCTAGGCCAAGGTAGGCTAGGACAAGCCTTATGTGTGCTTGGAGGCTAGGAGTTGCCCAATGAGATGGCTCCACCAAGGTCAGTAGCACTGGATCATGACCTCAAGTCACATGGCCGGGGCACTCGGCTGGTTTTGGCCAGTCCATGGGAGGTGCCTCTTACATGCAGAAGGGGGAAGGCCATGATGTGAGGCTACCGTGCACCGATGAGAGGTGATTGGGAACCGATGTGATGGGTCTCCTGTATGCCAATGATGTGGGCACCTGTGTGCCATGATGAGAGGCAACCGCTTGGGCCGGAACACACCCGTGCGATGTGGGCAATGGGATAGTTCATTCAGCTTGGGCAAGGGGCTGGCTGGTAAAGGGTCATGTTAGAGCTAGGCCCG